TTTTTTTTTAATTATTTTTTTATGTTCACGTTCGGAGGGTTTTGGGCGCTTGTTCGCGTTCGGGCGAACATGTTCACGTTCGCCTCCGAACGCGAACACGGTGCTACGTAGCTTTATACCACATAGCAACACCATGCATATCAGTTATGGGTCTACTTGACCGCTCGAGGTAAAAACAAACAAAAAACAATTGACGAAACATGTTAAAAAAAAAAACACGCCCCCCCCCAAAAAAAAAGAAGAAAAAGAAAACGCACCATGGCCGAAACGCCACCAATAAAAAACACCACTCTGAAACGACACCCTGGCGCACCAGAAAACAAACACACACACGAAGCAGACAAACCAGATGCGACACTCCTTACTTCCTCCATAGCCAGTCCTCCTCCCTAAGCGACGAAAAAGACCCACACCACTACTCGAACTGGTACACAACGAGACAAACAAAACATAGCACCTCGACTCCGTTACCTTTTTATAATCCATATTGATAGCACCATACCCACCCCCACAGTTACAAGGCACATCGGCTGGTACAACCGCTTCACCTCGCTACGGGAAAGGAGTTTTTTTCATATCCCTGCTCTTCCCCCCTTCCCCCCAAAACAATCTTACCAGTGGCTTACACCCTCCCTCATACACAAATGAAAATTTTTTTCCACCCCCAAAATGCAGCCACTACCCCACCCCCATCCTATCCCCGCCCACGTACTTCCTCTAATCCTAGCCCGCAGTATGGCAAGCTACGATATACATTCATGGCCTGCTTACCCCTATCCTCCTCTACGATACAACAAGCACCCTCGAGAAAGGCCACTACTACAACTGCTTGCATGCTTGCGCTACACCGCACCAGTGCCAACTTGCATGTTCTTCCCTCCTTCATATCTCGCCACGAGTCCTCTCCTACTCCCTCCTCGCACGAGCACGCCAGCTCGCGAACTAATCTGTGTACCTGGAATCCGTCTGGCACACCATAGTGCCCCGGGCGTTGTGCTTACACTGTAAGCCACCTGATACTACGCTGCACTACCACCATTCGTGCTATGGGGGCGACTGATCTGCTAGCGACACCGACCATGCCCGCTCAGGTATGATTCGCTAATGCCATCTCCCCCCAATGCCTATGCTGCTTCACCATGCAACACCCTGACGTCCTGCTCATAAGCCCGCCCTCCACCCGCCCCCATTCCTAACATGAGCCTTTACTAAGCTAACCCGTTTGATGAGTTGCTATGGGTGGTAGGTGGTGAAAAGCACGCTTAAGGGCGTGCACCCCCCCTTCGGCTTTTAATCTTGCCGATTCTAACACTATCTAACCTACTAATCTCCTAATAGCTCCCTACCTAATCCTCACCCCCCATCCACATGCCCTATGGCATACTGAAATGGTTATCTCCTTCATAAAAGGAGACTAATTAGCGTAGATCTCTATCCTGATGCTAACCTTGAGGACGTCGATATGGTCCCCTCTTCCATTACAAACGGGATGACCGTATTTACACACCCATCGGACACATACCCAGATATTATATCTAGTTGGCAAGCTGGGGGTTGAATCCCCCGCTGGGAGACCACTAGTCACTTCCTTACATTAAAACAAGATAACTTTTTGAACCCCACCAATCAGATGCCTTCATATAACTATTACCTCAACTCTCACATCTCCACACACATGCAGTATATATAAGCAGCTGCCCTAAAAACTCGCCATAGCTATGATTCATACGTATAGCATAATCAAGTATACATATATTAATATAACTACAACCACGAGAACTATATCAGCTAGTTTTCACAAATACTATCAACTATAGCAAAGTGTAAATATAATCAAAATAGCCTTGCATATGTACACGTTTATGGCATAACCAGCCCATTCCGCCTCAGCCTAACATGAGACACAAAAACACCATCGTTCAACAATGCTACAGACCCGCTACTAATCGCACCGCCGCACCTCATCATTACATCGGAGTAAGGACCTCTTAGAAAAATCCCTTGCATACGTACTTAGAAAAATCCCTTGCATATGTATAATTTGGGACACTCTACGATGTCGCCATACATTTTTTGGAACATGTGCCTTGATGCCTTATATGAATGTCTGTGTCAATTATTAGTGATGTCAGGGAACTGCAATTGACTTCCGCTCTCTAGTATAATGATTGAAGGTTTATCCTCATAATTGACTCAATGACACTCATGTATTTTCTCAAGAATTTTTTGCCATCGGACCCGACCATAGCCAGATGACTCACCTATATATGAATGTTTGATTTTCAGCTGGAACATATCCCAGGGAACAGGAACAGAGCTGATGGCAAGAGTAGAATTGAATGGGGAAATCAAGCAGGGTCGGAAGAGGAGGCACCTCCGGTAGATGGGTTTTTGGAAGAAGGGGATGATATTAGCACTCATGTCAACTGTTGGACTATGTTCGTTGAAAGTAAGGCAATGAGGAGAGAAAATCCGATGTGGCATCCACCTCCTGAGTTAATGAGGGGACTTGCCCTAATACTTACACAGATAATAGAGGAGGACTCATGGTGAGAGAAGAGTCTCAGAATGGCTAGAGCGGGTGGAACAAGCTTTGGTCGGGCGGCCGGATGTTGTAAAGTTTCAACGCATCCTTCAATATGTCCTCCACAGCTACCATCAGGAGGTGAAGAAAGTCATAGATGCGGCTCAAGGTAGCTGGGAGAGGTTCAAGGAGGGGATGCAGAGGAAATACCGCCTGGGAGACGGGTTGTTGACTACCACGGACCTTGAAGCAATGAACAAAGAGGATTTTACGACTATAGGGGCCTTTGTTCAAGAATTTAAGAAGAGGGCG